ATTTTGAATAATTCACCATGATGTGTTAGTCTTGTTTAGATTGATCACCTAGATTAGGCTTTTCATATCTACATCTGAATTAGGCCTGCAATCCGTAATTGTTGTTGTGTTTAATTCATAAGAGGTAACCGGAAGATGGTAACTACCGGGGATAACACAGCCTAATTAAGTGAACAAACGCGGTTGAGTTCACTACTTAGTCTAGCCTATTTTTCTAATTCGTAAAGCGGCTAATTGTATTAAATCTTGAAAACGTTTTTCTGGACTGTACAAGAAGTCAGGTTTAATCGTAGAGCGTCTCGCGGTTAAATTAAAAATAAGGAAAAATTCGGGTAACAGACCGTGTCGTTGCCTAGGGCTAGTAATTTCATGAGATAGCGAGATTTGATACTAAAATTGATTAAACGAGTCAGTCGAGGGTGTAGACGGAACCGTGAACTAGAAAGTTCTCTTTATTTATTTATTTTTATTTTTATTTTCTTGTTTAGATTTTATTTATTTCATTAGATTTTTAGGTAGTTTAGTTATTAAATCAAAACCCCCCGCATTTATCGCTTTCTATAATTTCAATTAATACGAGAAAATTCACGATTTGATTCACACTCCTCGTGGGATCGACCCTTGCTCGCCACTACTACTAGTTAGTAGGGGTTAGTTGAGGAAAAATATAAATTATAATTTTGCCGCGTTGCGACGCGCGGTCAACTATTTCAAATAAAATATGAGGGGGAAAACAACAATTAGAGCGGGAACTGAAATAATTTTTTCAAAGTTTTTCAAATAATTTTTCTTCTCCGTATTATATATTAATAGATAATATTTATTCAATTAAATCTCAAATTAGACTTTGTAGATTTGCCCTCATCCTTGTGAATTGTTTTGCAATGAAGTTTTGAAATTTTTTGTTAAATCAAGCCCATGTATCTAATTTTTTTTTTCGGCTGATTTTCAATAGAAGTTCGGGATGCGGCTGAATTTTAGTGATTCGTATCACATCCTAAAAACGTGTACTCAATTTCATATGTAACTAGTACAGTACCCGTGCGATGCACGAGGCTTAATTATTTTCGTCCTTTTTAAAACATAATTTTGTATTTAAATTTAAATTATATAATAAAGCACGGATCACTGATTATAATTAAACCTAACAAATACTTATTATAAGATACGTGTAATTATTTATATTAATCATGTTGGGCTTGTAAAATCTGAATGTTTTTGAAAAATGTGGGCTTCAAAAAGTTCATATTGGCCGAATTTACAATGTTGGCTTCAAAAGTTCATATCGGCCCAAACAAAACAGAAAAAATAATCTAATGATCCAGATTACTCAACGCAAATCGGGTTATATTAGACTAAACATAGTATAAATAGTGAAATTATCGAACCAATGACTACATTTCTTCATTTATTTTTCGACGCTTCCAGCTTCTTCTTTCGTCTTTTTTCATCTATCTTCTTCCAACTTTACCGTTTTAACACTGAGGGTCTTATAAATACATATTTTTTTTTAGTTTTCATTTAGTTAGTTTTAGGTGTTTTGCACGAAACAAAATATGGTTTGTTCAATTTGAGAGTTTTTATTTTCGATTTTTGTAGTTTCATGTTCGAATTTTTTGGTTTTTACAATTAATCAAAAGAATCTTTCGAATTTGAGTGTGCCGGTAGATTTTGTTGATCTTAGTTGTTTAGCCCGAAAATAAATGTGGAATTTTTATTTTTAAGGTTTTTATGTTCGATTTTTTTACCTTTATGTTCGAATTTTTTGGGTGTTTACGATTAGTCAAAAGAACTCTTAGAATTTGAGTGTGTGTCGGTTGATTTTTTATTTTTTTGATCGGCAAGTTTATTTTATTACAAAAATTTTTTTGGCGTCCAAATAATTTTTTTCTTTAAAAACTCGATGTTCGCAAAATATTTTCACTATCCGCAAGTGTACGGTATAGCTGTAGTGAGTGGCGAGCAAGGTCGTATTCCACAGAGACTGTTGTCAAAATTAACTAAGTATCAAAATGTAAACGATTAAATATTATTTAGTCTAATGCAAATTTGAATGGTGATTTTATTCTAAACTAATGAATGATTGCAAAATAAATTCTAACACTAATGAAGGCTTGTTCTAAGATAAATCAAGAATGAGAAAATAGATTCTAGGCTATGCTTTCCTCGGGATTATTCTAGCAAAGATTAATTATTCATTCAAACCTTATTTAATTCTACCATTCATAGGGATAATCGCTAAAGTAATTTACACCTTTCTCTCGAACAAGTTAAATCGTAGATATTAATTGTTATCTATCTCCTCTCGGTCTCAAGATGAACAATCAACTCCCATAAGCTCCTAAGATTCTAGTTCCCTCGCAAGATTCTATCAACCTCTCGGTCTGTTTAGTCTCTTACGTTATGAATTTCCCAATTCTAGCAATCAACTATCTCCTCTCGGTCTCAAGTCAATCACAAATATGCATAAATACGGGCCCTTATATTCACACAATAAACAAAAGCATAAGAAATTGATAAACGAATGATAAACCGGAATGAATAAACAAAATCACTTCATAAAATAATCCGAGTACTCGCAAATCCTAGAATCCCTAAAGGGTTTAGCTACTAAACATATTCTCAAAACTCAACATAAATATATTCATGAGTTCAATGAAGAAGGAAAAGAGAAAAGAAAGAAGAACTATTGTCGCTGTTAGTTCCCGAATCTTCAATCTTGACTTCCTTGAATCCCTCGTGTGTTTCGTGCTTTCTCTAGGCCTCCAATGGTGTCAAAAGTCCCAAAAACGAGTTCCTAAGGCCTCTTTTATACTGTAGGGCACTTCTGGGTCGAAAAAGGGAAGAAATCGCACAAGAATCCTATTCCCCGCAGGTCTGGTCTGCGCGTCACACGAGTCGTGTCACATGCCACACGAGTCGTGTGACTTTTCTCAACGTTTCGGCAAACTTCCAGACTCACACGACCGGGTCACACGAGTCGTGTGAGGCCACACGACCCGTGTCACTACCCACACGACCCGTGTGAAAAAGCCGTAGCTGCGTTTCTTATTTTCTCAACCCACACGACCCGTGTCACTACCCACACGAGTCGTGTGACCTCTTCTGCACCCGTTTTCGCCGTTTTTCGTCCCGATTCCATTTCCAACGCATTTCCGGACATATTTCCTGCAAAAACAACGACAAAAACACCTCTATCATAGTTTAATAAATAAAACGAAATGGTGCACAATCACACGATAACCAAGGCCTAATATCACAATATATCACTCATAATGCATGAAAATATGATGAATGTCACTCGACACGACTGAAAACATACAAATCATAATTATGTGATATCATTGATTTTGATGAATTGCACACAATTATTATGGGTTATGAACTTGCAAGTTTTTTTGCCCAAATTAGTGAATGTTGATATCAATTAATTTTAAAAAGAATTGGTATTAAAATAAAACTCAAATTTTTAAAAGCTTTATTTGTACCAAAATTGAGCAATTTGGTTATCAAAACTTAGTATCCATGATTGAAGGCATATTTAAATGTTTCTCATTTAATAAATAAAAGATAAAAACAAAATTTTCCCGAAATAGTATGTAATTAATGTTGCTACATTTTTTTGCTTACTATTTTTGGTAAATAGTAATTCTTATTATATAAGTATAAATTATAAGTATAAATTATATAATGTTTGTTGAATTCAATCTCTAAATGGATTCCTTAGATTTGGCCATAGACGATTTTCATATAAAGTCCAATTTAAAAAAATGTGTACCCAATTCCAATTTGCAAATAAATCTGCCAAATAATCGTTTGTAACATTATTCCAAAAAATTGCCAATTTGCACATATAGCTTCAAAAATCATCNACAATTAAATGAAAATTATTTATTGAACAAAATAAATCACAATCATAATATATGATACACCTCACAAACAATTAAAAATGTAATAAAACATTCCTAGATTTGTTCAACTCAAAAAAATCGCAATCATACTATATGATACACCTCACAAACAATTAAAAATACAATACAACATTCTTAAAACAATAGGATTTTGAATACAGTACATAATACAACATGATTCTATCTCCAAGTATATTTTCGAATACAAAAAAATCACATCAGAATGGAATTAAAATAAACGATTTTATATAATTAGATTGATTAATAATTGGAAGTAAATTAAACAGATTAATGATTTTCAGTTATATTCAGTTTTATTTAACATGCTAATTGATAAGAAACCTATATAACATGATTTACTTAAAAGAAATCACATCAGATTGGAAGTAAAATAAACCAATTAATGATTTTCAATTACGACAATTTGAAACACAATTTACTTATAATAAAGTGGTTTGAATTGATTTTTTGTGTTATAACTTGTAAGGTTAATTAGCCCAAAACATAATTAAGCGTGTTCTATAAATTGCTATGTATTGAAAATAACATGTCATAACTATTTTAGTCAATATTGGCTCGTTGTGAAATTACTATTTACTCAACATTGTTTAGCGAGATAAGAACAAAGTAGTAAACAAGCTGCAGACACCTTCCTACTAAACAATGGATGCTGCCCTTGCCCTTGTCACGACACTACCAACAAATATTCTTATATCATCTAATCACATCAAAACAAATGCCTAGATGTATAGCTTGTTTTGCGACTTAATTAATTAATAATTATTATGCCTTAAGTGCGGTAAAGCTAATCACGGTTAACCTGTAATTAAACAAAAGAGAGCCACCAACTAAAGCAAGAGAGAGGAGTCATTATTTGATGGTGACGATCGATTATTATTTAATTAAACTAGTGATCTCCAATAAGCTTTCGGAATAAACAACTTTTAATCACGAGTAATGTCAAAGCTTGCCGCTTTCTGTATGTTTTCCAATTGCATTTATGCCCATTTTGTGGATAATATTTTTAAATGTGGATGGCACTTGGTATAAATTCTCGAGCTTTGTGTCTGGCTGGTCTTAGAATAATCACTATCATCTAATAGTACGAAAACAAAAAAGAGAGAAAAAATATATAGCGTGTTATAGAAATGGCAAAAATATATCCAAATAATAATAATAATCACTCGAGTAATTCTAATTGCGATTACTCGTTTGAAAGAGAAACATACACTGTATGGATGAAATCGCTCGTGTTCCATGGCAATGGCTGCACCGTTTTTAATACCAAAGGCGACGTTGTTTATCGAGTCGACAATTATCAAAAAAGATGCGGCAATCGAGTCTTTCTCATGGATGCCAATGGCAAAGTCTTGTACTCAATAAATAGAAAGGTAAGTAGAAATTAACCTACTAATATATTAATTAATTATGTAACAATTCAAAATGTACGTTTTAAATTGAAATATAATGCTTCCAACGAGCAGTTAAATAGTTGTTTTTATGTTGTTTGATATGTCAGAATGTTATACTATTTCATTGTGAAGTTATTATGTACTTTCGACTCCTTTTCTTTTTATTTATTTCAGAAAATGCATATTTTGGGATGTTGGGAAGGTTATAAGTGGAAAGGTAACTCGAAGGTCAACAATGGGAGACCGTGGTTTCAAGTGCAAAGAAACTCGGCGATTTTGAGCAAAGACATGTCTTACAAAGTCACATTTAAATGCAGAGAGGAAAATGAATGCAAAATTATTGGGTCAATACAAGGGAAATCAGCACTTAAAATTGTAGACTCCTCATGCCACCTTCTTGCAGAGGTAAATTATACTCCCTCCTTTTTAAATTAGATGTCGTTTTGAATTTTTTGATTCATCCATTTTGCTACGTATCTAGACATAAAATATGTCTAGATATGTAGCAAAATGGATGAATCAAAAAAGTCAAAACGACATCTAATTTAAAAATGAGAGAGTATTATATTTTGGTGTCTTTCTAGTATTGTTGCATCAATAAGTAATGCAAATTAATGGTATTAATTGTATTATTATATTATATATAGTAAAATGTTGTGACCAATTGTTTGTTGTGTTTTGCAGGCTGTACAAAAGCAGTCATCGGGAGTTAGTTTGGGAGAAGATGTGCTGAGACTGACGGTGGAGCCAAAGGCAGACCAATCTCTTGTAATGGCTCTTGTTACAGTTTATAGCATGATCAACAATAAGCTGTGATATCATGTATATGTGAATAAATTAATTAGTGACTTTACTTTTTGTAATAAGGGGAGATTAAATTAATAGACAATTTTTGGTGTAAATTAAGTAGCTTTACTCGAGACTTATGTAATTTGTATAGGTTTGGGTTTATACATGTAATTCAAATACTTCCGCTCATTTTTATTCTTCTTCTTATATATTTAGTAGATTTTTCATTGCTAATTGAAATCTAAGTCAAACTTCTGGCTAATTTAATTGTTTAATATTCCTGAACTCGGACTAAGACGACATGGCCGAACTCGAGCAATTTTAGATGATACGTCAAATTTCTAATTAAGCTTTACTCGGACAATTCTGGCTCACCATTTAATTAAGGTGCAACCAATTATTCAATTGCCAAGACACGGCTCGAGTGATCAAACCAAATAGTATTCGCTGTTGTTATATTGTTACAACTCATTACTCATTAATTATAAAGGGTGTTTAACTCTCTTGAGACTTGAGAGTTACATGTGGTATAAATTCTACAGTTCTTTTCAATGATCCAACCTACTTTTAATGCTAGACTAACTTTAAAAATGTATTTCTCATGCGCCTATCGGCCTCAACCATTTAATTTCATGTAAATTAAACAATAATTAATATTGCTATTAGTATTAGACTGTTTAACTGTTAATAAATGGACATATCATATTTTCCAAACAAATTCATACTTGTGTAAAATGTCATACTTTTATTTATATAATTTTTTAAAATATTTAATTTCAATTTGAGAGCATAAACACTTGTTAAAAAAATATAATTGTGTGGTCGCAAATTAGAGTCAACACCTATGTTTCCAAAACCCATCTTCTGAATTAAGTTTTCATTTATAAGTGGACCACAATATCGAGTTAATAAAGAACTAATATAAATGGTGTCTTGATGGGAACATCCTGGATGGAAAAATTTTGAAACAGAAAATATAATGGTCATGTTCCTATGTGATGGCGATCGAAAAGAAAAAAAAAAATGAAGTGCTCGAATAGAAAATAATATCTGTTTTGAATATGACTAATCCTAAATATGTGGCTAAGATATAAGCTAATCTTTGGTGTAATAATATACTTTCGGAGGGATTAAACCAAATGACATGTTTCAATATATATTATTGTGCGTGTGTACCCTCAATCTAATATTGATTATAATGGCATGAATAATTTAGATACAATTAGATTAGACTGTCGGAATTTTGATTAATCCAACCCATCCTTGGGCTTGTACCGGAGTTTTTATTAATCTAACCAGTCTCTGAGCTCGAGTGTACTTGCTATGTGAAAATATGAAAACTTTGAGCTGATATACATGCCATGAGTTCATTCAATAAAATACAAAACTTTGCAATTCAAACAAATTAAACAATTTGTTTGTAAAATATATTCAGCTATGCTAAATCACGATACTCATCACTTATATATTCCTAATACAAACAGTTCTATACATAATTTGCATGGCCAATTTTTTAAGTTAAAAAATATAGGGTCAAACTAGTGAAATACACATTCATTGAGATGAAAAAAACCATCCACATTTTTTTCCCAAAGACATATTTTGCAATTAACTTTAAAGAAAATGAAATAAAAAATGAAAAAAAAAAAATATTGAAAACTTGAAAACACTCGTCAAAATATTTCAGCCTGAAGTGACCCCCATGGGACAAAGCTAATTTGCATATTATTTACTGTGTCGAACAAGTTTTCATATTTTTTACAGTTTCTTCTTCGCATTCTTCAAGTTACGAACTCTCATCACAAGCTGTTGCCTTTCGCCCTCGACCTCCGCAAACTTAACACTTATCTCCGAATATCTCTCTTGCATCTCCTTCAGCTCTGCCTCCATCAATTTGTTCCTCTCCTTCAGTATAGCCATTTCATCTTTAGCCTCGTCAAGATCACCATTGCTGTCCGCGCAATATTTTACCGGCCGAAAAAAAACATTTTCACTGCAGTTGTAAATTGCGTGTAAGGTTAGAAGGAGCACCTTATTCTTGCCATGGCTAATTTTCGGGCTTATAATATCACTAGATCCATACCCGCAAAAGGATAATATTGTACACGTTTTCTGATTGGTTGCAATATTGTCATCAAAACTGATTGCTTCTTCATTTGATCTGAAATTTGGGTCGTCGTCCTCTTCAACGGCAGCTACCTGTTTCGAATGAGGATATACTCTTAGATTGTAGTGAAAAAAAAGGAAAAAGTAAAATATAGTTGGAGGATGTGAAAATTAAATCCTATACCAGACTCTAGTCATACTACCCCAACAGTACTGCTAAATTTTCATTGCTCGTCAATTTGCAAGTAAGGATATCAACATTTATTTTTAAACTGATCCTAAATTTTCGTAAAAACTGATCATTTTACTAATATACACCAATTAGATTAGAGAAACATGTTGATCATGCCACTCTGCATGATTACTTACCTCCACGATTTCTTCTTCAGAGCAATCAATACTGGTTTGGTTGAGCACTTCAAGTCTTCCTTCTAACTCTCCAATTTCATTACTAAGTTCCTTTTCCTTCTCTAGAAATGCATTATTGGAAGCTTCCAAAGCATTTTCCTTTAGCCTGACCTGATTCTGTTACCATAGAAACACAGCAAGCCACGTCTATAGCATCACTATCAAGCATTTACGACGCCTTACAGAAGCATTTACATACTCGCGTTATCCCTTCTTTCCCAATCAAAATAAACACAAATATTCAAAAGTGCTAGAGGTAAAGAAAATGAGAACAACATACAAAAAATTAGTACCAAACAAATAACTTTTATGATATATATGAGATCCTGACACCTTCATACTAACAGATGATTGAACTATCTATAATAGATAATTCCATGTATACAAAAATAAACGAATAAGCTCACTCAAGAGACCTTCATACTTACCTCAAGAAACTCAAGTCTCTCCTTAAGATTCGCAACCTCTGTGGAGCGTCCACAAATCTTCTTCTCCATGACATTCAGGGCATCATCCCTTTTCTTGATATCGCCTTTCAATAGAACCAACTGTTTCCTCAATATTTCTTTCATCTGTGCATCCTCAGATACAGTATGCTTTAATTCTGTAACCTGTAATTGAAAAGAGACGAGCTCCTCCTGTAGTTTCTCGACTATTAATTCTTTTTCTTCGGCAATACATTTCATTTTATTTAGTTCCTTCTGCAGCTGTTCAGCATCACTCTTTGCCAACAGAAATTTTTTCTCAAGCCCAATCATTTCATCATTACCTTGTTTCAAAAGAATTTCCATTTCCTTAACGGATACACTCTTTTGTTCCAACTCACGCATCAGAGTCCCCTTATTCTCTATCTCCTCCGACAAAACTTTAATCTTTGCAGTACACTTTTCGAACTCATTTTCAAGCCTTTTCTGATTTTCCAGCTGCAAAGATTTGTCTTCAATTTCAGACTGCAACTGCATGATTTGGTTCGTCATCAATCCCACTTGTCCAGAAAGTTCATCCAATTTAGCCTCATAACGCTCTTCATTTAATTTATGATCTTCATAAGCTTCCTTAATACTTTCTTCCAAATGGATTTTTTGCAAACGGTGCTCGTTTGCTTCTGCCATAGCTTTAGCGGCTACTCTCTCATTTGTTTCAAATGTGGACACCATCTCAACATAAAGCCTTTTGAACTCCTCCTGAAGCCTTTCAGCTGTATTTGCATTCTGCAACTTTGTCTTCCTCAATGTCTCCTCGGCTCTAATCGCTCTTTGCTCTTGCTCGACTTTCGAGCGCATGAGCTCGTCTAGATCAACTTCAAAACCGAGCAACCGCTTCTCGAGCTCCTCCTCTAAACTTTTCGCATGAGCTTCGAGTTCACTTATTTTTCTCTGCGCATTTTCCGACTCTTTCGTCTGTATTTTCAGTTCGTTCTCAAGATTTTCTACCTGGGCCTCGAGCTCTTGGACAGCATTGTAAGAAGACGAGCACTCGTACTGCATTTTCAGCTGCTCCTGGATCTCACTCTGCTCCAGCCTGTACGCCATCTCGTGATTCTCCTGCCTCATTATCTCATAATCAAGCGCGAGCTGCTCCATTTGCATTTCCAGTTCGTCTTTGTCCCTCTTGAAAGTCTCCAACTCATCTCGCATCTCAAGTATCTGTTGTTCCAGAAGATGTGCCTCCTTGACACTGCCGTGCTCCTTCACGAGCTCCTCCAGAGCTTTCTGTTCTTCATCATCGTCCTCGTCATCATTATCTTGTTGACATGCGGGCACCACTTCTTTGCCGGCCCCACTCTCGAGTCTCAGTATTTCCTTGTTTTTCTGCTCCAGCATCTCGTCCAGATCGCGCACTGCGAGAATTAGTTCCGAATTCGATTCTTGCGTTTTTTGGAGCTGAATTTGGAGATTTGAATTGATTTCCTTCGCGTGGTTCAGTTCTTGTCTGAGTTCTTCCACAATTTTCCAAGAGTCCCCACCTCCAGAGTCAGTTCTATTTTTCGCAATTTTGATCCTTTCGCATTCTCCCCTCAGAGCATCCCTTTCCTGTTTCAAGCAAACTACCTCTTTAAAAAGGTCCTGCCCCCTTTTGCTTTCCTTTACAATCTGCTTACGGAGGGTCTGTAGCTCTAGATCAGACATTGAGGCTTGTCTAGATAAAGCTGCCACTTCTGATTTCAGCTTTTCGACCACAACACCCGAGGGCTCATCGGACGACATTTGCTGCTGTCCTGAAAAGGCTTTTTCTCTTGGGGTACTCAAGGAATCGTTGTCCGTGCTTGCGGCCTCAAGGGCCGTGTTTCTAAGCCACTCATGATTCACGTTGTCGCTTTCTGAGCTCGACATCGTGATGTCTGATCCGCTGGACTCTCGGCGGGGCCTGTTCGGCACCGCATTGTTGGAAACGGTTTTATTAAACGGCACAATCTGTGATACAAAACAAATATTCGTAAATAAAAATGAAAATAGATGGTCCACATAGAAGTATTTTAGAAGCCAATCGCCATTTCCAATATGACATGTGGCATCAGCGGTTTGTTTTTTCTTCGTTTAAAAAAAATTGTAAAATTGGTAAAAATTATGATGAAAGTGAAATACGTCAGAGTTGCTCCTCATGGGTTCGTCAAGATCACCATTTTCCATCTGTGCCTTCAAGCTGTTATCTTTATAGTCCGATTTTACGCTCTCATTGTCTTCGTCCTCTCTGTAGGAACAAGTACAAAAACATCAGGTTAGCACTGCCTATGACTAAATGTAGATGTTGAAGGGCTAAAATATAAATATCAGTAATTAGCACCACCTGTGATCGACAGACTCCATCATCCTCTGAATAGACACCTGTATGTATAGATTGTTTTAGGAAAAATTAGCATGGCCTAAAGAAAGAAAACCAAGGTCTGAACCAGGATCCAGTGCAAACTGGTTACCAGTTAACCTATAAAAATATCTCCATGAGCAAACAATATGAATTTAGAAACCAAAAGGAAAAAAAAAAAAAATACTGCATACGTTTAGTACAGCTTCAGGTTTTGAACACTTGAGAGGAAGAGACACCATCGAGACCTTGTTTGATTCGGCATAATTCGAGAAATCGATCGAAGCTTCTCCTATGACTCCAGATTTAGACGACCCCTAAAATACATCACCACAAAAACTAGCAGTTAGCTTTTAAAAAGATCACTTGGCAGCAAAGCAAGGCATAACTGAAATCATATGACCATTTACACTTTCCATACCGTCCCCACAACAAAATAGTATATCCTCTCAAGTATTTTCCCTGATTTCGGGTCTCGGTTGAATTTTACGGACTCGTAAACTGGATTCTCCCAGAAACAACTCCCTTCTCGAAGTAAGGCCTTGTCTGATTTTAAGGTTGGTTTTCCGGCATCAGCAGGAACAATAGATACCAATAATGAATCATCTCCAACTTTTGGCACCTATAAATGTTTCCAAATGGGGATCGATTAGTTCAATGCTGGTGAATTAATTTTGAGAAATTCAGGATTCGGAATTGCAGGTTTTGAATCTAAAGAATGGTTCTTTAATAAATGAATAAAAAAACAGATGGTAATTCAATTTTGAAATGCACCAAAAAAAGAAGAAATTTTGTAGATTGACCGAACAGAACATTTTTTGTATCTTCCAAAACACTCAAACTCTGTGCATTTGAACTGTTTATAAAGCGAAAAAGCCCCATCGGGTGTACAGAAAAACCAATTTCCACATCAAATCGAAGGAAATAACAAAATAAAGCGTACTCAGGATACACATGAAACAAACCGAAAAAAAGAATGCGTGTATCCATATCTAGTATCTCCATGTCCACCCAGTAAGAGAGATAAAGTACCTTAGCTGCATGAAATTGCAGCTTGAACACAACTTTGACCTTGTTTTTCTCGCTCCTCCACCGCGCCGACTTGAACATTTTCACAACTTCGCCCTTCAATTCCACATTACTCTCAGATCCTTTCCTTCCGAAACCGCCGGAGCTCTTCCCGGAATGTCAACGGAGCTCCGGCGACCACCGCCGGAAAAAAAGCTTACGTCGATCGATGAACCACCGACGCCAGGTGCTCAATTCGGGTTTTCAAGCTACTGAAAAGCTAAAGTGATGAGTAAAATTCAAGCGGACGAGCATTTTATCAGTGGATCAATGCGGAGTCAAGCTCAACCAATTTCACCCCCACCGATCGTGATACTGAATAAAAAACAACCCGGCGATTGAATTACAAGAAATAGAAAGCAGATCTAAATACGATCTTTTAGTAAGTATTTGCAATTTTCCTTGCTGCCTGTGCGCTGTGGCCATTAAAGGCCAGCTCTCTCTCTCTCTCAGTTTGTGCGTGGATTCTCTGTTATTTTCTCTCTCCAAGCCTGTGTACGTAACAGTATACTCTCGAAAGGAGTGTGATACAGCGTGACATTATTATAATGTTTTATTAAACACAAAAAAAAAAAAAAAAAA